ATCCTCCTCAATGTTACACACAGGACCTTTTTTAATGAATGCACTGTGATACCACAAAGAAAAACACAGTAAGGTCAAATACAACAAAAATCAGAGGCTTTACTGAAACTCTGAAAAAGTGAAAGTTTAAAACTTTTATAAACTTTGTCTAAGACTAATCAAAGCAACAAGAAGAAAATGGAACTTTCCAGACATGTTTGTTTGTGTGTGTGTGTTTGACTCCAATGTGTACTTTCTGTAACAACTCTGGTCATGGGGCACTGAGTCTGAAACAGGAGTGACAGGTTTCCAACAATAGCTTCACCAGAATTGACAGTTGCTACTGAGTATCTCCTCCCAGATGTGTGTCACACATAGTTTCTGTCTCACAATTTGGCAGGATGTCTTTGAGGCTTGGCAACACACAGCATTGAACAGATCTTAATCTGTAAAAACAACAACCAGTATTTTTATGTACAAAATCTTAGGGTTTTTTCATTTTAAATGAACTTGGCACTGACTGAAACTGTCATTTGGAGCATGCCCAGGCCGACTAATAATAACAATAATAATGGATGGCTTGTAGCCAAGTTGCAAGTCTCTTTACTACTTCTTCAGAATTACAGTTACAACGTTTATAAGGGCATATTAAGTGAGCTTAAGTTCATTCAATGTTTCTGAGAGAAATCCATTTATACTGTTTTTCTGTCACCTCAGCTGATTCGGGCAGAGGTTTTGAGCTTCAGCGTGACTTCATGAATGTCTGCTGCACCTAGGCCTCACCAGGCAATCACAACACTGTTGAATTAGCATTTCCAGCAACAGTCATTTTATCTCCAGTAACCCTCTCAAGCCACAGCACCCACTGGGTTGCTGTTTACATTACATACATCACGCTTATCTTATCTTTTGTGTTATTACCTTTTTTCTGTGTAGCATCTAGGAAAACTGCAACTAAATGATGTCTCTTTGTTAAACACTCAATTGCTGGTAAAAGCCTATAGAGCTATCCCAATTACAGACTAGTAATTTTAACCAGGTCTGCTGTTGATGGACACAATCAGACGCACAAACGGAGCAGCTACTCACAGCTCCAATAAAACAAAATGTGGACGGTGGAGAGAAAGTTCCAGGAAGACCTGAGAAAGATCCCTAAATGAAGTTAGACAAATATATTATCAATGATTCACTATTACAGCTCATCAAGCCACACTACAACTCATTAGTCCACCATAGAGTACACCAAAGTACACTGATTTCGTGTACGCTAACTTGAAAAACATCAGCCTCTACTATGAATTTTGTATACAGTGCATGTGTACAATGAGTATGTCCTCAGTTTTTAACCATACACTCTATGGTCAAAAGCTCAAAAAAGCCCAAGCAGAGATAACTCAGATTTTTTCAGAACTGACAAGCACCTCCAGCACCATGAAAGACAGCTGTTTACACAAGCTCTGGTGCTCTCCATTGCAGGTAAACAGACCTTTTTTAGGTGTAAGATCGATGGAGGTCCCCATTTTTTAAATTTAGTCGTATTTATTGCCTATTTGATATCAATGATTTTTATTTATTACATTTTATTTCCTGCTCACCTCTTTGGAACTCGTCATGTGCTGCGTATATGCGCTGCTCTCACTTTGTTCACATTGCGTACATTGCACATACGTTGCAGGTGAGCTCATTCTCTGAACTGGAAGTGAAAACTCCTTAGCTGACGAACACCCTCGTTCAGAGTTAATGACCTCCTTTTTAGACCGGTTATCATTAAAGCAAGCTTTTGTCAACACACCTTGACTCTAAAGCAACTTCAGAGTTCCCATAGTCTGCAGTCATTTTTCTGTGTCTGGAGACTAATCACAGCTTTTAAATGAAACTCGTAAAATGGCTCAGGTTCTATTTTAAATAGGTCAAATGTGTAATTTGTCTGAGGGCTTTACATGTTTATCCTTAGACTTTTTAATTTGTAAAAGCAAGAACTCCACAATAAAACTTTAATTGGTGAAACAGTTATTGACTAATCAACAGAACATAAAAACTAATGGGTGGAAAAAATAGGAGCCTCATGAAAAGCAACTTAGGAGGGATAGAAATCAGATTGGTGTCAAAGAGTAGAGATGGCAGCAGTATAATTACAATATCAAGTAAATAAAGTGCACAATATAATTCTACGTGAATATTAAGTGTTTATAAGCAAGGCATGTTTGAGTTGCTGAATCAGATAAGACCATGTGCCACCAAGAGCTTGTATGACCTCGACCAATAAACCTCTTGTGTTCAAAGGTTGAAGGTCAAAATTGTCTCGTCCATGATAACTGACTTTGGCATTTAAAAAGGGTCCCACTTGGTTGACTATAGTGACACAAACTGCATCGTCTGAGTGGACGGTAAACACCGAAACGGTCTGTTATCAGCGAAGGCCTCCATTTCAGACAAACATGAAAAGATGTTTATTGTGTACGTAACCTCCTGATTATAGCCTGTTGCAAACCCATTTAAACTAATTCTACTCTTCTTCTTCCTCTTTCCTTGTCTCCATTCCTCTCTATCCCCGTCCTCATTTCTCCCTCTGATACCAGGCCAGGCCCTGCAGTGCTACGAGTGCAAAATTGGCTTCTGGAACTTGTGCCTAACCACTAAAACCACATGCAACAGTGGAGAACAGTGCTTCAGTGGTGTCGGGAAAGCAGGTAAGGAGCCCAGGGGCTACAAATCTCATCGGATGACATTCTCTCAAAGTTGTCATCAGTTCTGACATAACACCTTACCACTTACATTCTCAAATATCTCTGTAACAGCAACAAAGGAGGACAACCTTTTATCAACGGTTAAATAATGATGCCCCGATCAAGGTTTTTTTTTTTTTTTAGCAGCTAATCCGATCCAAGTAATTTAATATTGAGCATGTCTCGATACCAAAACTTGTATTTCTTGTTTTGGTTGCACATTGCACTCTTCAAGTACATTTAAAGTTAATAAATTCAATCCTATGCTTTATGTAGTTCTGCATTGCGTTAATGGACAGTTATTTTTATTTTTTTTATTTTTTATTTTTTTGGTCTTGTTGCTGTCTGAAGGGAGTTTCTCTCTTTGTTTGGTGCTTTGGTGCAGCGTTTGCCTGAGTGACCTGTATGAACTGTCCGTATTCTTCCAGTGTTTATGTCCGTCCTTTCTACATCTTTTGCGTGGATTTAATTAATGAATTACTCTTATTGGCTTTTTGTCCATGGGACTTTGTTGCACTTGCAGTGGCCTGTTGAGTGTGATTGTATCAGCTCTCTACTGCTATTCTCCTCCAATCAGGAGCAGCCCCACCCATTGTTGAGTTTCACTGCGGGCACACAGAGACACACAAAAGCACACACGCAGAGACACAGACACAGAGTTGACAATGGCTGCACTGTACATGAAAGCTTTCTTAGTAAGACAAAAGATTAGATCAGATCATAAAGCTCAACATAGCCGATACCGATCAGTTTAAGAAATGCCCTTATCAGTGCCGATACTGATCGTTCGTATGGATCGGGACATTCCTGCGGTTAAGACAAGGGTTTTTCTTACGCTAGAATGATTACTTGATTATTCCACTGGGGGCAGTGATTTAAACCAGTGATTCCCAACCAAATTGTTAATTAATCCATTAGACTACTACTGTAATGAATTAACTTTAGTATAAAGTAGTATTTGTAGATGTGTGAATGCCACTGCTCCTCATGAGGGGTATGATTAATAAGGAAGATTAATTAAAATCAGTTGCAGCTCTATAAGGTGTTGGAGATCACAGATCTGCCTCTTACCATTCTGAGATATTTATTCAAGTGTTTTTGAAATGGTGATTGTGATCGCTAATGTCTGTCTTCACTCACTATAGAAAAACTACAGGCTTGTTCAGTCTCTCTTTTTTTTAACTTATTGGCATCAGATCATTCTTCCGATCTGACAGCTAAGGTAGCCATGCACATAAAACATTAATTTATAATATATATCTTCACGGTCTATTTACAAAATAGATATTAAGATTTGGGAGGCTAATGCACGGTCAATATATTATACTGTTGCATGAACTTAAAAATTTAGCTTAAAAAACACATTATTTTTTACTTCAAACATTTTTGTTATTGTTTGTCCTTCCATTCCCTCCATTTCAGTGATAATGTAACTTCATATACCCCAACAAGTTTTACATCCAATGGAAATTAATGGAAACCAATTTGATTTTTAAGAGTAATCATTTGATGTTTCTAACAAACTGCAAGGTCTTAAAAAGCATAAATATTGCTCAAGCATTAGCACACACATGTACGCTAAAGCTGTGCTGCAACCCCCCCTAGATATGGTAGGTACGAGGAAGAGAAGAGGGAGTTTTACCGGCATCCACTGACTCAGACTCTGACCGTTATTGTGTGTGTTTGCTATCGCTCCACAGCCGGCTTCGTGGACATCAAGACGAAGGGCTGTCTGGCAGTGGCTGACTGCAACAAGACCCAACAGGTGAACTTCCCCAACAGCGACTCCAACACCACCGTTTACACCTTGACCAAGACGTGCTGCAACAACGACCTGTGTAACGCTGCGCCTGGACTGCCCGGCACCTCCGGGCTGAGCATGGCCCTCGCTGCCATCACAGCTCTGTTTGTGGCCAACGTTGTGGTTTGATGGAAAAATAAAGTGGATGCATAAATGCATAAAACACACACACATGGGTCTTGTGTTTTTTCTATCCTAGAAGTATAATACACACACTGATATAAACACTTACAGTGTTTAACACTTTAAGTGATCTAAACACTTGAACTGTTTATATCAGTTAAATTTAAATTCTCTTTTCTTTTTTCTTTTTAGACTCATCAGTAACCTGTCCCTGTTCTCATTTCATTATAAACGATATTAAAATGTTAGTTGACCGACCATTTAAAGTGTAAAACAAGTGTGTACCACCGACATTAAAGATGATTTAAGAAGTCCACCACAACTAAAGTGCCCTGCAATTAACTTTCTCTTCTTGAATGAGCAGTATAAGGTTTAGGCACAAGTCCATGGGTGTCAGTAGGTGAATTATGTGTTAGGCATTTCACTGTGTGATTTAAATTGTTTTTGTAGGTTGATTTGTGGGAATAAAGGAATTGTCCAACATTTGCCCAGAGTTTGATTAAAAAAAGATCAATACCACTTTCATATCTGTCCGTTAAATCCTAAGCTTCAACTAGTAGCCACTTAGCTTAGCATAAAGACTGGAAACAAGGGGAAACGGCTAGCCCGGCTCTGTCAAAAGAAATATGCCTACAAGCACCTCTAAAGCGCACTAATTAGTTGTTATTTCTTGTTTGTTTTGTCCTTGGGTGTAAAACAAGTTGATTTCACAATTAAATTAGTGAGCTTTAAAGGTGTTAGTGATTGTATTCTTTTACCATTGGACAGAGCCGGGACATCTGTTTCCCTGTTTCCAGTCTTAATGCT